ATAAATTTAAAAGGTTTAAAAGTTAAAAAAAAAATTTTTTAATAGCTGAATATTAGAAGATGATTGTAAAATTTTTTATAAACTATAAAATGCTCAGTAATTTTTTTGAACTCACCCATATTAAATATTTATTATAATTTTTTAATGAACCTTATAATAAAATCAAAAAAAAAAAAATATTAATAAAGCCATATAAATTTTTTTTATTAAAATAAGGTAACATTCATTATAGCCTAAATAAATTCTTACGGAACAGTTATGTCTGTATTAAATTTTTAGATTTAATTATGAGTTGACAAACATCTGTTCCATATATATTTATATATATTTGCAAGTCTGCATTTATATGAATTTTTCTCATTTCTCTCATCATAATTTCCCATATATTTTCATATTTTTCTTTCTATTTGTTGAATGGCTTTTAGGTTCTGTATTTTTGGAATACTTTATCTTAGTAATTGGCGAAATTTATTAAACGATAATAATTTTATTCTTGGAAGGCACAAAAAAAAAGAGCAGTGAATCTTTTAAGAATAAGATTCTCAAAAAAAAAAATCAATTTGGGAAAAAAATAATAATCATTTTTAGTAAAAATAAATACAAATTTGATTAATAATTTTAAATTAATTTTAAAACATACGACATAAACTTATTTATAATTACTCTTTTTTTTATTTCCTTTTACAAATAATAATAATAATGATAATTTATGCAAGATAATTTTAAAAAAAATTTATATAAAACAATCTTAATAACAGGGTGAAGCTTCATTCTTCTCAAATCATCCCCTGTAAAAAAAAAATATAAAATAAATCTTTTAATTTTGATTTTTGATTAAAGAAGTGAGAATTTTTTTTTAGTAGTTATTACAATATTTCACAATGATCAACTCCCTTACACATTTGTCAGTCATGTAAACCACGGGTTAATAATCAAAGTTAGGTCTCATTTACAATAAGAGGCATAGCTGGGTTATTATTTTTTTTTTAAAAAAGCAAAGCAAAATTATACGTTAAATTTATAATCTATACCTATAGAGATGTAATTTTATCGTATCTACGTCTTTTAAGTAACGATATAATTGGATTAATTTAAAAGTTGTAATGGATACCATTTCTTTAGGAAAAAATCAAAATATGCTTGTCGCAACTACTATGAATGCTATGTCGCTTACGAGACATCAGCTGCTCTGTCGCTTAATGTAGTGTCATGTTTGTCGTGTCGCTTGTTGCTCTCTACTGTGAACGCACCCTAAGTCATTATAAATTTTTTACCTATCATTTGTTTGCTTTCAAGAAAATATCCAACGATGTGTAGGCTACTATAAAGGAAGCCTTATTCAAAATTCATAATTATTTAATAAACTGTTAGTAGATTTATTGATTCCTCACAACAACCACTTGCTTTATGGAAAATTTAATAATCTATTTCTTAATTAAATATTAATCCTATTATGCGTATAAATTTAGAAGAATAAATGAAATAATACATTTTCACAAGGCATGCCATTAAACGTAGATTGTACCCTAACCTTAATCCGATTCTTATATAAATATAAATTATAACACAATGATTTGATTTAAAAATCATAATCAATTAAAAATCATAAGATTTCCGATTCTTATTTCCGTATAATTATGATCTAGTAGTCATCTATATAAAATTAATGATGATATAAAGAAAATCATATTTAAAAAAATTATCAATATTTTTATTTTTGTAAATTTTTTTCTGTGATAAATTTTTATATAATGACAACAAATAATATATCATATTTCAAAAAAAAAAATATAAAAAATTTAAAATTTTAAAATTATTAATATATATTATATCAAAATTGTAACTTATCATCGTTTGTCTTCGCCTAACCATTTTGTAACAATTATATATTAAAATGTTGAGTATATTAAAATTTCTATGCATATTATTATCCCATTGGATCGTAGCAACTTACACGCTGAAGTTAAATATTCCCAATACATACTCTGAAATCGAAAATTTCAAAGATTACGATTCGCCTCTAAACTTCGTTTTGTCCCTAATTAACGATATGAATGTCTTGGAAAAAATAGAGATTTTGAACAAATTGGGATTACTTTCACCCCGTAAAGAAAACTATCCCTCATCCGAAACCGAACATCAAAAGATTTTTCTATTTAGAGCTTCCCCATCCGTCGACCAACTATCGATGCCTAAAAGGTACCTAAATCATCCTCCCGAGATTCCCAAAAGTCAGAATCAAAATGGAAAAGAAAATAGACGGGTAGGAAGTAAAGATAAATACAAATTTGTAATGCCCTGGTAAAAAATGAAAGAAAGAAGCACTGTTATTCAGTTTCTATTTGTACTAATTTTTTTTGCCTTTTCTTTAAAAAAAAATAAGAATTTGTAATGCTTAATGTTTATATTTATATCATATTATAAGGCGTATAATATTTAATAATGTTGATGTATAATTTGCCCTTAATTTTAACATACGATTACATTATATATTAATTTGTAATTCGCAATTAGTTGTAATTGGAGTAATAGAAACTATAAAACTGCAATTTACAATTAAAACAATATCCTTATTATTTTATAATTAAAATTAACTATATCCATAAATAATTTGGAATATGATAAAGCAATATGATTGTTATGACCTATAGATATATTATTATGTAGTGGAAGGGATATTATAATTCATGGAGACCTACTTTAGAACTTAAGATAATCAGAAGTGATCATAAATATGTGGTTTTATCGAAAACAAAGGAAGCAAGAAGATTCATTGAGAAAGGTATGTATATAAAAAATTAACATATGTCTTAATATTGATTAAAAAAAATATATACTTTAAAAAAAATTCTTCTATATTTAGAAATATTTTTTTTCATAAATTAATAATAAAATTTTCTGAATCCACTCGAAGATATATACATGGTGTATTTATTTATTTTTTAAATTAGAGCCTTTTTAATAAGGGATATGTAGGGATGCCTTGTTTCCCGGGATAATAAAACTCAAGAAATCTGCAACTCAGCAGATGTTAAGCAGGATTAATATTCGTAGATATGTTATTAGGCTGTTTAGTAAATCTCGGGATTTATTCTTAGATATTATAATTAAGCTATATCATTAACATAGCATTCATGACCCAGAGCTTTGTAAGTTTTGTTGCATACAAGGATCACTTTACTCCAAAAAAAAAAATTGCCAGTATAGATTAATATAATTATCATAATGTCTACATTTGATTGAAAATTAGTTGCCAAGTGGTTCGCTACAAAAACATCGTCATACAATTTGGATAATATTATCATTCAACTACTATAATACCTTATCACCATTATTCCTTAACATTTAAATTATCATTTTAGAGCATTCTATATACATCATATTCTTATTTAATGCAAATATGTAGCAAAAAAAGTAAAAAAAAATTTTAAAACATCTTAAGATACCATTTTCATATGCTACAAATTTGTGTTAATAATATCATTTTTATATGTTTCAAATATATAATGGTTTTAAGAATCACTATTTGATACAAATGGATTCTTTTATTAAGATTCTTATTCTAACGTTTAACTACTGAACATGAGCACAGACAAATAATAAAAAGAAGATATCATCTTAAATTATTAAAGAACATTATAGAAGATTTATATGATATTTAATGTATAATATTAGCAAAATTCTTGTTTGTTAATGTTATGGATATTATTATATATAATTATATATATATGAATAAATAATGATTGGGAATATATATTAAATTATTATTATTTGATGCAAATTACCTAGTTTAAAGTATAAAAAGTTAATCTAAATCAAATAATTTTATATTTAATAAATATTTTTACAAATGAAAATCTAATTATCTTATAATTTTACTAAAAACGCGGGCTATAAATAATGGATGTTATAAAAAAAAATCTATATCATCATAGTGCTAAAGCCCTGCGTAATACAAAATTTTATATTAATTTTTCAAAAAATAATATTTAATTTTTATATTAAATAAGCAGAAAACATTTTTCGAGTATTTAAAAGTTTTTTATATTAAATAACTTTTAATATAAATTTTAAAATAAATTAGCAGCTTTTTTTGAATATCTAACTTGGCGCCTATTACACTTTAGCATTGCTTTTAATTTATTGAATTTTTATTTTTAAACATAATTAGATTTGGCCATTTTTAATTTTGAAGATTGATCATATATATAGATTAAAATCTTGTCCGTTTTATTGTCTTAAGATTATTATTATTCCAAGAAATTATTTGCACTAACAAAATTCAAAAATAATTTAAAAATTATTATTTAAATAATAAGAGTTTATTTAGCAGGGATATTCTTAAACAGTTTTTCCATATTTATCATAAAATTATTATTCAAATTTATTTATACATTTTTATGGCAATATCCTCAAGAGGATTCCGTAAAATTATTGATAAATTATTTGTTAGTTTTATTTGTTTTTAAGTTTTTATAATTAGTTGTATATTTTTGTCACTTATTTAGTGGTCTATTAATTCATTTTGGACTTATATATATAATCCATTAAAGAAATCAATTAAAAGGTGCGAGGCCCCTCATTAAACAATAGTGTAGATATTTTTTTCTAGGAATCCTACAAACCCTTTTTACATAAAAAGAATAATATCAGGGGGGGGGGGGGATTACTAAAATATTTTTCCTATGTTTAATATTAGGTTTCCTTACATTATTGTTTTTTCCGCGCATTATTCTCAAAATATATTGTCTGATTTAAAACTAAAAATAGATATAAATTATTCCTGATCATTAATCTATGTAAACGACTTCCCAAATATCTAAAATTCTTCCATTGATTTTAATGTTTTGCGATCTTCTACTTTTTAAAATTTAAAGAAAAAATTTATATTTTAAAAACTTAATTATTTTAATTATTTGAAAAATTAACATCATTATGATTGTGTCAGGTTTATTAATAAAATTACATTAATAATCACATTATGATTAAGCTTATTGACATAATCTGTCATGTCAACAATTATATGAGGCAGAGTTTATTTTTTTAAAAAAACGATGTCAAAATATGATATAAATTGTGAAATGATATTAAAATTATTAGCAGGCACCGTGACAGCCGCATGGGAAGCAGGAAACATAATAAAAAATGTTTTGAAACAAGGGAGTTTAAATATTGTTGAAAAAGTAATATTTTATAATTTTACTATGCAGTTTACTTTATCAGGGTTTAAATGATTATCAAACAGAAGCAGATAGGTTATCCCAAAGGTGGATATTTAATTATTTAAAATATCATTTTCCTAAATTACGCATAATTGGAGAAGAAGATATAGCAGAAACAGTAAAATAAATTACATGTGCTACTAATTATATTTTTAGCCTATAGAAAATCAGGAAAAATTAAATTCTATAGAAATTCCAGAGGCTAAAAAAATTTTATCATTGAGCTGTCCTAAGGAATATATGGGAATTGAGGAAAATAAAGTAAATGTTTTAAGATTTGTTGCATAATATGAACTAAACAGGTTGTTATATGGGTGGATCCATTAGATGGAACATCAGAGTTTACTGAAGGTAATTTTTCATAGAACATTATCTAATAATATTTATTTTTTTGAAAATTATAGGACATTTAGATCATGTAACTGTGTTAATTGGAATTTCTTATAAGGGCCAAGCAATAGCAGGTGCCATTTGTCAGCCTTTTTATCAAACTATGAACTCAAATAATAGTAAATTAAAAAATACTCCTAATGTTCAACAAGATGGTAGAATTATATGGGGACTTCAAGGTAACTTTAAATTTTCAACAAGGAATTTATTTTAAAATAATCTGTCATCTACTACAAATAAACCACTTAAAATTAGTTAATACCATATTATTATGATCTATAGGTTTGGGTGCTTATGGCATCATAGTCCAGGATCCACCTAAAGAAAAACTTATAATATGCACAACACAATCTCATAAAAGTGCCATAGTGTTGGATGCTATCAACTCTTTGAAACCTGATAAAGTGATTCATATTGGTGGTTGTGGCATGAAGGTAATTTCTAATACTATATTTTAATTTCTTAATAAAACTTTAAGGATGTTGGCCCTTTCTTTATAATCTCTGGTCAACGATAAGCTTTGGATTTTCCTCCACAAAGATTGCCCCTAGTGGAAAAAGCACCCTGGAATAAATAAATATTATAATTTACATCGGATCGCAGCATAGGGAAAAACAGTTTCGAGAGCTAACTTCATTTTATTTCAAAATCAATTTGAATCGATTCAGGCTCTAACTGTACTCCCACTTCCAGACATTTATTCCTTACCATCTCCAGATATTTTATATAAGTTGATTTTCGCTTATCATGTAATATGGCGAATATCACATATCATATTTTTCCCAATTAATGTACATGGATTGTATATAATTGAGTAAAATTAATCGGAGCAGTAAAAAATGTACCATCCATGTACAAATTTTTTGAGGAGCACTTTTAAAAAATCAGGTGTCCCAAATATTATGATATCTTTATTGGGTGTATGTGCCAATAAAAATGAAGTGCCCTGAAGAGTACTACTATAATTTGATAAATCAAATGATGATGTGTCCTGAGGTAGCAAGTACATATATCCAGGTACCACCCTTTTCATCATTTTTATAATAGAGTGCAAGGGTGGGATAGCCTCTGGATATTTTTGTATATCTGGATTAGACATAATTTCAACCATAACATTGCTATAGATGGTAGAAATATTTATAAAGGGATTAGCTACCATGGAATTTTTAAGAATATTTAGGGTTTTTATGCCATAATATTCAGATAAATCATCCATATGTGTATGCACATATTTTGGCTTTACCTGGAATTTATTATTTATTAATATAGCGTGCGATAGGCAGCTTGGTTGGCGGCATCAGTTTATAAAAAAATAAAATATAAATAAACACTCAAAATATAACTTTGTATGATATTTAAAAAAGTTTACATATGATATTTGGTATGTTTATATGTCCGATTGCACACATATAAATATTTTTGATGAAATACCATTAAATGGTATCTTATAATTAATATATTCAAAATTATCTGCAAATATTTAATGTTAAAATTAATCATCATAATATTTTACTAGGATCTTGATGAATTAAACTTGATTCAACTAATGAATCGGATGTTACTCTTATGTTCCCAGAAATAGGATCTAAAATATTGAATTAGAAATAGATTTTAAAGTTTAATGAGTTCCAAAATTAGTTGAATTGAAACAGAATTTAAAGTTGATGCACCATCAAATCTTCCAATAGAGGTTTGATCTAAAATGTTTATAGGAAGAGATTTGAAATATTTGAAAATGTCAGTATTAATTTGATTAGAAAAAAGGAGCTTAAATATAAACATAAATATTAATTATATAAATACCAGGATTAGTTTGAACTGAAATATGATTTAAAGTTGATGCACCATCAAATCTTTCAATAGATGTGTGATCTAAACCACTCACTCCAAGCATTGCTGCAGGACAATTATTTGTATTTTAGGTTTTAGTAATAAAAAAATGTTCAAAATTAATAATATGCATACCTTGATTATTTTGAGGAATCTTGTGGTTTATTTTATCCTCACCACAATTAGATGCATGCACTTTGGTAATTTTAAAAATATCTTTGCAAAAACACCTTTGCCATTACATGAACAACACCTAAAATAAATATTGTGTCCTCTTTTTTATCTTTGCGATATTTATTCATTTTATGGCATATAATATTTATGTTTATATTTAAGCTCCTTTTTTCTAATCAAATTAATACTGTTATTTTCAAATATTTCAAATCTTTTCCTATTGAAACATTTTAGATCAAACCTCTATTGGAAGATTTGATGGTGCATCAACTTCAAATTATTTTCAGTTCAAACTAATCCTGGTATTTATATAATTAATATTTATGTTATATTTAAGCCCTTTTTTCTAATCAAATTAATACTGGTTCAAATATTTCAAATCTCTTCCTATTGAAACATTTTAGATCAAACCTCTATTGGAAGATTTGATGGTGCATTAACTTTAAAATCTGTTTCAATTCAAACTAATTTTGGTACTCATTAAACTTTAAAATCTATTTCTAATTCAATATTTTAGATCTTATTTCTGGGAACATAAGAGTAACATCCGATTCATTAGTTGAATCAAGTTTAATTCATCAAGATCCTAGTAAAATATTATGATGATTAATTTTTACATTAAATATTTTCAGATAATTTTGAATATATTAATTCTAAAACCATTTAATGGTATTTCATCAAAATATTTATATGTGTGCAATCGGACATACAAACATACCAAATATCATATGTAATTAGACTAACTTTTTTAAATATTATACAAAGTTATATTTTGAGTGTTTATTTGTATTTTATTTTAATTTTTTATAAACAGATGCCGCCAACCATGCCCATCGTGCGCTATATTAATAAATAATCAGTTCCAGGTAAAGCCAATATTTCTGCATACACATATGGATGATTTACCTGAATATTATGGCATAAAACCCCGAATCCGGAGGCTATCCAACCCTTGCACTCTTTTTAAAAATGATGAAAAGGGTGGTGCCTCGATATATGCCCTTGCTACCTCAGGACACATTATCAATTGATTTATCATATTATAGTAGTACTCTTCAGGGTACTTCATTTTTATTGCCACATACACCCACTGAAGATATCATAATATTTGGGACACCTGATTTTTTAAAATTTATGTGCTTCTCAAAAAATTTGTACAAGGATGGTTCATTTTTTAATGCTCCGATTAATTTTACTCAATTATATACAATCCATGTACATTAATTGGGAAAAATATGATATGTGTGATATTCGCCATATTACATGATTTAGCGAAAATCAACTTATATAAAATTTCTGGAGATGGTAAGGAATAAATGTCTGGGAGTGGGAGTACAGTTAGAGCCTAAATCGATTTCGAAATAAGTAAGAAGTTAGCTCATGAAACTGTTTTTCCCTACGCTGCGATCCGAGGTAAATTATAACTATATATATATATATTTAATAATATTTATTTATCCCAGGGTGCTTTTTCCACTACGGGCAATCTTTGTGGAGGAAAATCCAAAGCTTATCGTTGACCAGAGATTATAAAGAAAGGGCCGACGTCCAAGGTATTTTTCGAAGGATATTTGCACTACCATTTTACAATCCTTCACAGTTATCAGTTGTTTATACCCAGACATTTATTGAGTCAGAGGCTTTGAATGTCGACGCTCTAAGACAATTCATGCTCTATTTTTCCAATACGTGCATATGTACAAATAATTTTAACTCCATATTTTTGGAGTCGCTATCATATTGAAGGCCCCAGGACTAACAATAACGTCGAGGGCTTCCACTATTGCCTAAAAAAATTAATAAAAACAGCCCATCCGTATATTTATACATTTATAAATAAATTACAAGTAGTTCAAAGTAATATGGAACTAAAATATCAGCAATATAGTGTTGGATTATCAATATTTCTAATCTAACTCTAAATATGAAAGGCGAGAAAGGAGAATAAATTCATTAACATTACAATATAGCAATAATCTAATGGATGTATATTTATATTTAAATAAAATATCAGATAATATAAAGCAATACATACTTATCATAAATTCGTTATAACATATTCTATTATTATACTTCAAACTTGTTTTATCATAAAAAATATGTTTTTTATTTAACATTTATCGTTTAAAGGTAACCATTTTATTTTCCTCGAATCTCAATGAGATCATTTTTGCCTCCCCCTTTTTGTTATATATTTTTTACATTTGTATTCTAAATTGTTTACATCATTTTTTTAACATGTTATTTTAATACAGGTTTTTTTTATATTATGATAAAGTAGATATATTACAGCATGTTTTTTATTCGAGATAAATAAAGCTTATCCTTGTCGCATTTCAATAAATCTGTATATGTTTTTGAATAGCCCCCTGAAAAAAAAAATGAAATTTTTTTGATTGCTCCTGAACGATTTCTTTAGTAATTCTATTACGTAATACATAGATTATTATTTAAAAAATTAATTAAGACTATAAATTTTTATTAAATGAGTGATAATTTAATTATTATATTTGATTAATACACATAAATTATACTTTCACTATGTCAGCTTACAATGAAATTCTGGGAAAATTCAATATCGCTCATAACCATTTTTAAATTTAATTACCATCCCTCTTCCTAAAAATATTTCCAACGTCCAAACAAGTATAAGAAATTTATTTATTAAAACTGACATATAGTTAAATCCTTTATTATATAGATTTGGTTGCAAAACATTAGGTAAAATACCATTTTTACAGACACATTTGTCAGTTATGGAATGTATATATTACAGATAATATTTTAAAAAAACATTAGTAATCAATGCGATTTATAATGAATTGTAGTTTAAGTAATATCGATTAAATAAAATTCATTAATTGTTTTTAAATATTATACGAATAACCAACGAAAAAGCGTGAGGTTTATTATTTATATTTTCCGCCAGAATTTACTTTTTAAAGTGATAATAAATTTATACCAAAAATGTAAGGGCATGATTTTTTAAAAATAGTAATAATAATTAACGTGCGGTAAAAATAATAGGAATTTTTTCAATATAATGATAAAAGAAAATTTTTAAACTCATTTTTTCAGCATGGTCTTATGAATATATTGTATTTTATGATTACCCACTAGCATCACTACTATTTATTACCCACCAGTTATACAACCATATATTCACAACTATTTCCAAATCCCGTTATTAGTAATGGGTGAGCCAGTTAGTCTTATTATATTATCCATGAATATATTATATAGGTATTAGATTATACGGAAGTAAATACCTGAATATTTTTTATCTGTGCTTACAAGTAATATTCCATTAATAGTAAGCGTAGTTAAATAAACTAATAATTCGAAAAAATCTACATTATAAATTTAAATAATAATTAAAAAAAATATATAAATATAATATAATATTTATAAAAGTATCTGTATCTAGATATTATTCAAAGAAACTGTATCTGTTTTTAGATTTTAACGCTTTTTTATATTATAATTAAAAATAGTTGAATGCCAAATTTATTTTATTTCATATGAGTATATAAATTAAATATATGGTGAATTCCATATCAAATCAACCAAGGTTTCAACCCGACCTCTTTCAATTTTTTTTAAATTTTGCATACTGGTAGTATATACTATAACTAAGAAAAAAATGAAATTTTACCTCCCAAAAAGGCTTACCCACTAAGATATGGGCGTTTAAAGCGCGGAAAAATGGTACAGTGCCTCATTTATTTTCAAATATCTCGAGAAATATTTAAGTTAGAAAAATAATTTAAATTTTATTATGTAGCTTAATAATAGTTCTTTAATATGACATAAAAATAAATATGATGAATGTCCAAAACCGGAAATGGCCATAGAAAAAAAAGGTATTTTTTTTCGAAATTTTTTTTCTGTAGATAGATATAACACTGCTTTATATTTGTGCCAAATCCTAGCCTGGGATAAAAAAGGGTCTAGGCAAAATTTATTTCAATTCTTTAGATAATTTAATATATGATATATTGTAAACATAATTATGAATTATTATATTATATGTAATTATGCATTTCAGAAAAATAAAGTTATAAATTGGTTTGGAAATATTTTGTCAAGTAATTTTCCACAATATGTTAACAATTAAAAATAAAAAAAGTTAGGGCCTATTATTTAAACATAATTTTTAAAAAAACATTATTCCATAAGTATTCATTAAATGAAGATATTTTTGATCAATTTAAGCCATATAAAGAGTCATAACTCCTAGACCCTTTTTCATCCCAGGCTAGGATTTGGCACAAATATAAAGCAGTGTTATATCTATCTACAGAAAAAAAATTTCGAAAAAAAAATACCTTTTTTTTCTATGGCCATTTCCGGTTTTATACATCCGGTTTTGGACATTCATCAAATTTATATCATATTTATTTTTATGTCATATTAAAGAACTATTATTAAGCTACATAATAAAATTTAAATTATTTTTCTAACTAATTATTTCTCGAGATATATGAAAATAAATGAGGCACATTTTGTCAAAAATGTACTATTTTTCCGCGCTTTAAACGCCCATATCTTAGCGAGTAAACCTTGTTGGGAGGTAAAATTTCATTTTTTCTTAGTTATAGTATATACTACCATTATGCAAAATTTAAGAAAAATTGAAGAGGGTCGGGTTGAAAATCGACTTTTTTTGGTTGATTTGATTTGGAATTCACCATATATATATATATTAAAAAATATTTAAAACAATTATAATAAAAAATTATATATATATAAAAATATATATATATTAATTAAATATGATGTCCGATTTTATCAATAACCCACACAAATTTTGTTACAATGCAACTCAAGGATTCTGCCATTTTCAATGGAATTGGATGAAAAGAAAAGGAATAAATAATAATCAAAGAAGCATCAACAAGTTCAGTCATTGTTTTTCCATGGGCAATTTAAAGAGTATATTTTAAAATAACATCATACAAAGATTAGTTGGTGAATTACCAATTTTTACAACTGATTGAAAACAAATAACCTGTGAAGAAAAAAACAATTAAATATCCGATTTTTTCAGTACCCCATAGTAGTAGATATGATTATTGTTATGTCTTTACAGAAAAACTAGGATGCCTTAATGACCAAAATTTTGAAAATATTTTATTACTGAAATCTAATAATTATTTATAATCATTTAATCATATATTTTCATATATTATATAATTATTTTAAAATCCAAAAATAATTATTTTAGTTATATTTAGTTAAATGTGATATCGCGTCAATATATTTTTTTAGCTCATTTCATGCATTTTCACAAAAGAATCCTAATTTAGGTTTATTCAGAGCTTATAAGAGTAGAATAAAAATTGCATATGTATCTAGATACATTTTAAAAATTGGATCTATAACAAGATAACTTTTTGGACGATGTATCTGTATCTAGATCTAGATATTTTTTACTATGTGTATCTGTATCCAGATCCATCTAATAAGTATCTTTTAACAACTCTGATTTTTATATAAATAGGTATAGCATTAAAGAAAACATTTGTATATATTTGTCCAATATAATATAGAAAATATTTGATATAATAAAAATATAAATAAATAATTATCAAATATCATAGTTTAATAAAATAGCATTATATCTATCAGCCACTTTAACAAACAATAATCCCTTAACCAGGTTTAGATATTGTATGTCCAACTACTATATGCCATTTAAGGGAAAAAACTTTTTATACTATATTTTATTGTAGAGTTCAAAAACGCCGTATACTAATTTTATACAAAAAAACTATAACTAAAATACTAACTTAAAAAAAGAAGAGAGACTACCTCTTCATCTTTACGAGAATAATATTGCAGCAAACTACAATTCCTTAACCCCAAATCTCAAAGGTTATGGATATTTGCATAAATACGCATTCAAAAAAAAATAAATATATCCGAATATTTAAAAACTATTCATATATTAAAGGATATAGAATAAAAATTATTTAAATATCGCCATGAATTGTGGTGTATTTATTAATATATCTCAGAAATCTTTATAATTGCTGAAGTTAAAAGGTTAAAAATTGCTTTAATTTAAATTAAAAGATATAATTTCATTAACATTATCTATATTTATAAAAATTTAGATATGCCTAATTAGGGATTAAACGGCACTATTTGGCTTAACTTTAAAATGGCACAAATACGGATATACTTAAAATATATTATATAAGTCTCGAGATTTAGAAACTAAAGGGCCAAAAATTTTTGCAACCTAAAATATTATTATTTTGGCTAAAACCTTAATTGGACCTTTTAAAAAATCGACACATATTTAGCTATTTAATGACAGTATACCTAATATATAACTAACCCAATAAAGAAGCTGTGTAAAATGCCTTTTAATGTAATATTGTTATATTCAACCAAAAATTTTTAAAAGATATTGAAATTACAAATTAAAATATTAGCAATTTATAAAATAAATATATGGTTTATAATTTTCTTATAAAATTATTGTTAACATCAAAACTCTTTATATTATATTTTTACTATATTTCATAATTATTTAATAAATTTATTAATAATTAAAAATGCATATTATTATTAATTAATTTATATTTAATATATTTATGTTTTTAAGCATAATCATATTTATTTATATCAATTATTGAGAATTTATATAGAATATGTGGTTGATTAGTATAAATGTCGCAATTATTTTTATATCCCTACAAATTAATATCCCCCCCCCTAAAACTTTTACAATTATTTTTTTATTATTTTAAATTAAGGTGTTGTTAGTGATAGAGGGCCTGGCTCACGCCTATTTGTACGCTAGCAAAGGAAGCAAAAAATGGGATACATGCGCCCCCGAAGCTATATTGCGGGCTTTGGGTGGGAAACTAACGGACATTTGCGGAGAAAGTATAGATTATTCTCTCAATTCGCCGCCATCCGAAACGCCTTCCAAGACAACCATTCAAGATTCCCATTGGGTCAATAATTATATCGGAATTTTGGCTACTCATAAAGGGTTGGATCACGCTGGCCTGATAAAGAAAATTCCCCAAAATATCAAGGATACGTTAAGGATGGAAGGAGCGAAATTGTCAGGATTAATCTAATACAATTTTACAAAAAGAAAAAAATCGCCTTTTTAAAAAAAAAATATTTTTCTTACGTTTTAATTTATAGAAAATTTTTATATTGTATACTCATAAATGTACTGTAGTTGTAGAATAAATGAAACCTATTATTTGTGTTGATCTGCGAATAATTTTTTGGTATATGGGGTAAAATGTTACATTTTTTTTTAATAAACCTAGCATAAATATAAGTTAATCTTTTTAAAGGCATTTTTTTATTTCAGACTCTTCTCAGCTCAAGATCTAAACCATGAAAATCGGTGTAAATTGGGAATCTGTCTGTGTATTATATATTTTATCCTCACTTCGAAATATCGTTTAAGGGTCATTTCCATATTCAAATCAATCACTTTACAACCCGACCATCTCAGAATTTGGTATATATAAGTTAATAAATTGTTGTAATTGACGAATCCAAAATATTAGCCCCTTAAACTCGGCTATAACTGGAGATATAGGGTCTCAAAGTGGCTCTGCTTGGTCATTTTTCAAAAAAAAAATGATTTTTTACAATTGGGATAACTTTAATATTAGATGTAATCATGGCTCATTTTATATCCCCTAAGTAAACTCTTCCACGTATTTTAAATAAAATTAATTTTTGATTTATAAATTTTTTTTTTAAATTTTCAAAAATTTGTAATTAATTTTTTTTAATGTTAGTATAAAAGTTTATTTTTCCAAATTTTAGATATTTTGTAGAGAGTACCAAGAACTGTTCATATAAAAATAATTTATTAAGTTTCTTTCCCTACTCTATTTTTTAGATTTAAAATCTAGGAAGGCAATGCAGGGTTTAGCAGATTATTTTATTATCTGGCACAACTTACATTATATATTACGCAAATGCTTGAAATAATATAAACATTTGAAGCCCATAATTTTTTTTTTCTTAAAAAAATATATTTTTAATTAAAATGTTATCATAATACGAATTTAAAGCTTTTTTTTATGTAATCAAAATTCAAACTTTATTCTACTAATCGACTATGAATATCTGGATATTTAAGAATGGGGTTCATTAAGCCATTTTATATGGAGCAAAGTGTAAGTTTATTTATTTTTTAGGCCCTAAATTTTAGCATTTGAAATTGAGAGTAAGTTTCTAGCTCACTTCACTTTTCCCGAGTATTATATGATTATACCTATACCCTGATACTTTTTTTTTAAGAATCTTATTCCTGAATTTGATTATAAATTTTATTTTTTTTAACTAGGCTTACTACGTTTTCGATCTGGAACTTGGAGTTGTTCATTTCTAATAAAACAATGACACAAATATTATAATCATAATATTCATTATGAATGTTGAATGGTCCATTTAATATAATCTGTCGATAAATTTAGGGACCAAGAAGCCCCGGGTTTGTGAATTTTTTTTTAAGCCTTATCTGGCTTTTATAAATTATAGCCGTTTTTACAGGTCGGTCAGGTATTTAATATTTGTAATGGCTTCGTTATGCTTCATATAAAACAATATAACATAAAATATTTACAATTATGTTAGTCAATGAGTTTTTTTTCGGAATGTGTTATATTTATTCAACTTTAAAATTCATTTTTTGATCGCCTTTTCCTTTATGAATGTTTAAAAATATGATTATGCCCTTAATGCATTCCAAGCATGTGTAGAAAATAAAATTCTATGAAATTTATATTCGTTTTTCCCTTAGATTTTATTTTAAATTATAAAAAATACTCAAAAGTTATCGTCTGAAATTTGCACGCTAGCTATTCCAAACATACTTTAATACATTTCCTGTAAGATACGATCTTTAAAAATTTAATAAAAAAAATACCCTCAAAAAAAGAATTCAGAACACATTGACACTACCAACTAATGTACAACAAATTTACTAATTAGACTCTGTGAATTTAATGCATTATTTTAATTCGGACTTGGTCCTTCGACTAAATTTAATTATTATTCGTTTATTTTTCAAATAACAAACACCAAATTTTTTTATTAAAAATTATGATTCAGAGCTTAGGCCCGTAATTCTGGTCTTATTTTTTGAAAACTTATTTCTAGTTTTACATAGGATAATCAGATATTTTATACAAGGTCCTACCCTTATTTTGGTTCGTTTTAAGTTTGTGTATTAAATAAATATATTATATGTTATTTATATATATATATATACTATATTTATTTAAGGTTATATATATGTCGTATTGGGATTCGTAATCCGTTCAGAACCTCTTGATTTTAAATCCTTTATCGAGAGCGATTTAAAAAATTTTAAGTTCGATTTAACCCTAAATGTATTCTAGCATGGGTAGAGTACCCAAACTGTATATTTCAAACAATTTTGCCGTGAACTTTAGATCTATTTCTAATTTATATTAATTTTTATATGGATTTTTCATATAAACCAAAAAAAATTACTAAAATGTTTATCGCTGAAATTTATAGGGTAAATACTCTACACATGCTGGAATACAATTCCTGTAAAATCAGATTTTTAAAATCGAAAAATCGCCCTTAGTAAATGATTTAAAATTGAGAGATTCCGAATCCCCATTAATTAATTTTTGGATTTTAAAAATCTGATTTTACAGGAATTGTATTTCAACGTGTATAGTGTACCCAAACTGTAAATTTCAAACAATTTCGCCATGAAATTTAAAACTACTTCTAATTTATATTAATTTTTATATGGATTTTTCATATATATTAAATCTAAAATGTCTATGGCTGAAATTCATAGGGTAAACACTCTATACATGCTGGAATTCCTGTAAAATCATATTTTTAAAATCCAAAAATCGCCCTTAGTATATGATTTTAAAAAAAAATCAGTAAATCTAAATGGCCTCTTTCTACTTAGGCTGTTTTAGAGAAAGCTATATATACATGGCTAAATACAGCTAACATTTAGAAATAAGACGAACTAGGGGGTACGGCCTTTTAAATTTTCACGTTTCCTTTCACATTTCTGCAATACTTCCATTAGAAAAATCGGATTGACATATTTCTATAAAATAATTAATCAGACTTGTAACCAGGGATGCGAACCCGACAAAATTTTTGTCCGGGTTCGGTTCGGGGTATAAAAAAAAAGGTGGGTTCGGTTCGGGTTCGGTTCAGGGAAATATTTTTGAACCCAGGTTTGGTTCGGGTTCGGTTCGGGTTCAAGAATTTTTGAGTTGATAAAAAAATTCTATATTTAAATCATAATAAAAAACTAGACATAAATTTGATATAAAAAATAAATTTTTTATTTTATTTATAGGCAAATATAGTTAAAAATACAAAGCATATAGTCATGTATCAATTTTAAAAATTTTATTTAGACGTATTAGCATAATATCTTCCAAGAGTTGTTCACTCATCCTCGATCTATGTGGTGAAAGAATGAATTTCAAATGTGAAAAAGATTTTTCAACACCTATGTTAAATGTATTTATATGTGAAAATATGAAAAATTAACTTGGGTTGCAGGAACAGCAAATAAGATTTTAGATAAAATATATAATTCAGGGTGTTCCAGCTTAGCAGACTCCCAAAAATGCAAAATATTTTCCTTCTTATCTAATCTTTTATAATCGCTAAATCCAGTAATTATTGTTCCAATACTTTTCTCAGCAATCGTTGGCTCCCTTTTAAGTATTTTCTCCTGCCTTTCTTTAAGTTATATCAATTTCTCTAAATCATCTTCTTGTTCAATAACTTCATCGGAACTAATATCATCAGATAAAATCGGCGTTGTTAAGCTTTTAATTCGTCTCCATAAATTGACAAGATGTTTTTTCGCACAAATCTTATCATCATCACTAAGTAATACCTGTAATATTTAAGGATTTATATTGTTTATATTTAAATATTTCATAAAATAACAATTTTAATATAAATCTAAAATAATTAATTTACTAAGCTTTTAATTAACCTTGTATCTTGGGTCCAGGTATATGGCAGCTAAGAGAATTTCGTTCTTTATAAACCTTTCTTCTCTGTTCTTAAGACAAAAATATAGTAATTGAGCAAAATGGTTTGGATTTTTTTCCAGTTCGATGCAGCATCTTAACCATGCTGCATAAAAATCTGTCAGTGTTAACTGTTCAGATTGGAATTGTTTGGTAGCGATTTTAAAATTTCAACAATCGTTATTATCTCTTTCCAATCTTCAGTCAATAAATAATCAGATTGCTCTGTAAAAAAATCTTCGATATTGGGTTTTAGTAAAATCAGCCTTTCTAACATATCATGGGTTGAATGCCATCTGTGGCAATCTAACACAGGCTTAGGGAGTTTCATATTTTTTAATAACTTTTGGTAAGTGGAATGTCTTAATTTTAAATTTAGGCTCCTAGCCTTTGCAATGGTTTCCACAATAGGTGATAATTTTATAGCATCTTGAAGTGCCAGCTGAAGTGTGTGAGCTGCACACCGTACACTATAAATCGGATAGGATATAATAGTTGATAAAAAAGTATTTTGTATATCATCAATATCATATTTATATACATTTACATCCATATTTTCCTCATCTGCTGATTCACTCCTTATATCATAATCAGTTTCAGGTTGCAGGAGCTTTATAGCTCTTAAAAAATTACAACCATTATCAGAAGTAATTGTGTATATTTGTTGAATATTAATTTTAAATTTTAGTAAAGTTTTTAATATATTCTCTTTTATATATTCTCCTGTACATCTCTCTTTCAGCTCTACAATTCCAAGAGTCCTCAAATTTATAATGGACTTTGATATAAATTGAATATTTACACCAAGAATTGACCTATCTAAGTCGTTGAACTGCATCAACTTTTAAACTTATTAATTTTCCTTCTACCTCTCTCGATATTTTGTCTCTAATTGATTGGGCTGTTTTATTAATAGTTCTGGATAAATTTTCTTTGTTTATAACTAAATTGAGCCCAGATAGGAGTGGATTTATAATTCTTTGAAATCCCGAATTTTCAATAATTGATAAAGGCCGGCCATTTACAGTAACAAGTTCTAGTATAGAACTCATCAAATCATTAGATGATATATTTATACTTATATGCTTTTTTGGAAAAAAGGTTTCTATATTAATTTTAGGTTTTTTTGTCAATAACAATTCCTGATATTTGGTTTTTTCATTTAAATAATGAAAATATTCATTGTTGTGATTTCTTTCCAGGTGTCTTTCTAAATTTGACAAGTGATTACCAGACATTTTTACTTTGCAATATGAACATATTGATTTTTTTTCTATTGTATTAAGGGTAAAATGCTTATCAAATATGACTTTATCTTTAATCTTAAATCTATAAAAAGTAGAACAATTTTTTTAAATAGCAATGATTTCAGAATTAAAAAAGAGATATTTATAAATTTAATTTCATTTAGAATATGCACTTCATTAATATCTTGTAAAAATTAAACTGAACCAAAAATAAATGATTAGCATTAGCATTAGCATATATAAATTTTAAAATCATTTTAATAAGTTCACAAAAACTGCCCTACATTTAACAATTTTTAAGTTAGATGTTTAGAATTTTTTAAATTAACAATATAATAATTTTTACTTTGATTTGTTAACCATTTTCTTCTAATTAGTAATCTTTAAGAATAATAAGATAAAAATAAATGGCGTAAATTAATTCAATTGTTTAAAATTTTTTAACACTCCAATAGGAATCGAGAATAAATTTAAAAATGGCATAAATGAATTAAGTTGTTTAAAATTTATTAAGACTTCATTTAATTGGAAATTTGAAAATATAATATTTGTATTTACATATATTAATATATGATTTTAAATAATACACTGAACCCGATTGAACCCGGGTTCAAATAAAATTCTTGGGTTCGGTTCGGGGTTTTGAAAATTTTATAAATAGCGGTTCAGGTTCGGTTCGGGTTCAGAGTTTTTTTCTAAAAACCCGGGTTCACTTCTCCGGGTTCGGGTTCGGTTCGAATCCCTGCTTGTAACTTAGAAAAACGAGAAGAAAAAGAATGAGTAGGATTGTTCCTTGGACCGGGTTTGGACCTAAATAAATAGGTCCGATGCCATCTAACATTCATATCTCTTATCCATCAAAACTAAAAGGATTTCTCTTTTTTTTCAGCCTTTTTAAAATTCTTAGCTGAAATAGTGATTTTTAGATTTAAAGACTTGCTGGAACCAAAATTAAGCCGAGCAACCATGTGACCTCAGCTCTTAATACTTAAATTATCATTTTAGATTTGAATATTACAATCTAAGCATAATATTATTTATTTTTTTTTAAATGATCTAATGATTTTTTAATTCCCAATCTTAAATTAAAAGTATTATATATTTATTATATTTTAGGTGTATTCTAGAATTTCTAACATAATTTAAATCATAAATATATATGAAATGAAGGAAATACAGCCTGCATAAAAATCACATATGATACATCATTTTGTTTTCTTAATCATCGCATTTGACATTTTAAAATGTGACAGTAAGAATAATATCATTATTTAAAAATATGTTTTATGTACATTTTGTTTTCCCCCTTTTTTTTTGTCGAAAGGTAATCGATTAGGTAGAAGATCCGTAATTTTCGACGAATACGATGTCGGGAAACTGCCTCGCTCCCCAAATTATCATCGCCATTACAAGGTAAAACATTGCACTATTAAGCTGGATTTATAGTACACGGCATTTTGTTCGATAGGTGCGGTATTTATACCGCTATCGAAATCACAGCTGATCCTTTACAAGGATAATAATTTTAGAAATATACGTCGCAACATATGTTATCCAAATTTTAATCATTGGCTTGATTTTGCAAATAACGCTACGTCGAATGCCGCACCGCTTAAAAAACAAACGCGTTTACTATAAATTCGCCCTTATTCTTTAAAAAGAATATATATATATATATATAAACACCGTTAAAATGGAATATTGTAGATAAGGTCAAATATTGACGATGATTCCCTCTCCAGGAAGTTGGCTAGATACTATTCGAAGAGAGGAGAAGGGAGATTAAGGAACGCCGCCGATTCAATGAGTCAAAGAATCAGATTGAATAGGAACAGTTACGAGAGTCCCGTAGGGTCTTACATGATACCTAAGCGCTACAAATCCTTTCGTTCCCTGGATTATGAAACTAGAAGCCCTGAAGAGGATTATGGCACGGTTCAAACTAACAGCGTCGACGAAGAAACATTGGCTCCTCCTGATTCGACCGAAATTCCTAACTTATTCCAACCTACTACCTTAAAGTCTATGATCAAAGGTTTTGACAATTACGAAATCAGCCAAAATAATAGAAACGGGCCTAGTTCAAGTACACTTATACCATATATTTATTTTTTAAGAATATACATTTCAGTGGCGTAAGGGACCCTTAGGAATTTTAGTTTTTCGCTAATTTTGGAATTGATTTTCATTTTTGGTAATTTTAATTGTGGATTTCCTTTTTTTTTGTGTCAAGTTTTCTTTTTTGAACTGATTCCATAATAAGATCATGGCTACGCTACTCTGTGCATTGGAGGTTTTTTAAAAAAAAATTTATATAAATTAGAAAGATCTTTCTTTCTTCCTTTCTTTCTTTCTTCCTTTCTTTCTTAAAGAGAAATTAGAGTATAATTTTTTATATATTTTATATACCAGTTGGTAAGGTCACGTGTTAAAATCTTTTATTACTCCAGAAGGTTTCAATCGTTTTTGACAATCGCCAAACTCTCACCATTTTTTAAATATTTTTTTTTCCCTAATCAGAAATTTTAATTGCAAGATAAAAAAAAAATAACAATGAAAATCACGATTTTTTTTTTGATTTAATTCAAGTTTTATAATTTTATAATTTTTTAAAAAAAATAATTTTTTTTTATAAATACATATCCTGGAAAAATACAACCTCCAACGAGATAAAAAAAAATATTATTGAGATCTTCTTTTGACATTATGAATTCACAAAATTAATCACTTCATTTTTGGGGGGAATATTGATTAAAAAGGGCATAATAATTAAGATTTGCTTAACTAATTAAATATTTTATGTTAGAATTTATGTTAGAATTTATGTTAGAATTTATGCTTTCTGAAAAAATTTGGGGAAAAAAAGGGAGTGCCCGACTATAGTCCGACATAATAAGAGTTTTATATTTTAAAACGAAAGAAAGAAAAGAAAGAAAAGAAAGAAAAGAAAGAAAGAAAGAAAGAAAGAAAGAAAGAAAGAAAGAAAGAAAGAAAGAAAGAAAGAAAGAAAGAAAGAAAGAAAGAAAGAAAGAAAGAAAGAAAGAAAGAAAGAAAGAAAGAAAGAAAGAAAGAAAGAAAGAAAGAAAGAAAGAAAGAAAGAAAGAAAGAAAGAAAGAAAGAAAGAAAGAAAGAAAGAAAGAAAGAAAGAAAGAAAAGGTGAAATAAAAGATTTATTTTAAAAATCTTATTTATCGGGGAGGTTAGAAAGGGTTTTTAAACATTTCTTTCTATTATACAAAGCACAATCTTGTTTTCTAAAAAAAAAAAAAATCAATAAAAAGTAAATAAGCCTCTAGACGAGAGTTCTAACGATTGTTACGATTCTTTTAAAAACGTGGTTAAATGTTTGGGTGACGTCAACTATTTTCGGAGATCACATCCGCCATCCACTGAAGACGGTATATTCTTACGCTTTAGGCCTGACTTCGGTTCACTTCTTAAACTCTGCGTTTACGAGGGCGTGATAGGAAACTGACTTTGGGCTTTTAACATTTGAAAGGCGTTTTTAAACGCGTATTTATAAAAGTTATCCAGAAACGGCCTCTTTAGCGTCCATGTGTTTTTTCAACTTTAAATCATTTTTTTTTGGAGCGCGTTTTTTTTTTAAATTTAACCAGAAATGTATTTCATCATGTTTGGAATACCCACCATATCAAATTTCAGAGAATTTAGTCACGAACTTTCGAACTTAACAATAATTTATATTAGTTTTTTTGTCCATTGATTTATTTTTCACATAAATTACCAGAGTTGTTAAAAGGTACTTTTTAAATGGATCTAGATACAGATACATCGTCTAAAATAATATCTAGATACAGATATTATAATCAAAAATCTATCTAGATACAGATACAGATACCACATTTTTATATCTAGATACAGGATCTAGATCTCTGTAAATTACAAATGACTCAAAAGTTATCCGCAAAATTATCTATATAATTCGTAAGATATATGTATTCTAAACATGCTGTAATCGGTAAAATCAAAATTTAATATTTAAAGTTGAAAAATGTATCACATTTCTGGGAAAAAAAACGCATTTGACGCTATATATATATAATTTGTTTAAAAAAAAATAAAACTAACAATTTTATGCAAATATAAATTTTACTTTTTAAAAATGATATGTAATTATTAAAATGGAACAGAAACTATCACGAATCAATGGAATGACGAAGCGACAACAGGCGGTATTAAAATTTGCATTTAATTTTTTTTTAATCTAACTTGCGAATTCGAATTCTTTCAAGGTTGGCAACCAAGAACTCCCAAAAATTCTCACCAAAAACCTTACAATTACATGATGCCGCTCTACTTTGGTATGTGATAAAATGAAAAAATATTAGTTTTGCCTTTAAAAAAAAAAATTGTGCGCTCATTTTAACGTCGCATCTATATGGTAAAGCGGGATTTGTTTAAGCGACGCGAAGTTAAATGCGAAATCAGAGATGATTTATCTTCTTTTTTTTTTGAAATATGCGTAAACAGCTTTCACGATTTAATTTCGAATACTAGAGAGAGATGATGAAATGGTGACAGCTGTTTACGTATATTTTCAAATATTTCTCGGAAGAATCAGAGACTGGAGGCCCGGCCCTAAGCCCGGTCAGGGTACGCGGGTCGGACCGTATTTTTATTTTTTTTAATATAACCGAGCCGGACCTGGTTTAGAAATTTTTTTTTGGATACTTAGATACCCGGGCCAAGCTGGTGCCGTATATTTTAAAACCGAATATTTTAAATCGCCATTGGTAGCTATAGATATGCGTGCCAAAATAAAAAAATTTTAGAAAAATTCTGGGCCGGGTAAATGGTACCTTTATAGGTCTCTACAAATAAATACCGTGTAGTTATATAAAAAATAATGAAAATATTATTTGTAAAAAAAAAAAAAGAATATTAAATTCTATTTTCTTTGATACATTTTCTAAATAACCATATTTAAAATTAATAGAAACCGCGAGAAGAGATTCATCCGGCTACAGTAAAGACGCCCAAGCTTGGATTCCTTTAGGAATAGCTATTGTATGTCTAGTCATCCTGGGTTTAGGTGTGTTAACATTCATAGCAGTTATGACCAAGAGGAAAAACAGGGGTACGATTTTATTTGCACTAAGGTCTACATAATAATTGATATAAGGTATAAAAAAAAAATTTATAATATAATATAAAAAATTTGAATTATTATTTAGATAGCATTATTTACAAGAAACGCGTGCCGAATTTGACTAAAATACCTCCTAAGACGTATCAAAATCCTAACGCGAATGTGGCAAAGGCGGGGCCGGCAAAACCAACTAACCCGGCTTCGAAAGGATTCGCTAACCCTACTTATAAGTTGCCTTCTACTAGCTCCGCCAAGCCCGTTAACGCCGCTATGACTAACCCTCCTAAGGCTCCGCCATACGGGGCCCAAAATAAAAACAACAATAGTAGTAATAATCATCCCAAGAAGTATCCGGAAGTGATGTGGAACATTGATCTAAGATCCGATTAAAAATAATCTTTCCACTATATCATGTGTCGTGATGAAGTAGGAATCATCAAAATAATATAACACGAATTAAATAATATATTATTTACACAAATTTATCATGTATATTTTTTTTTAATAGAAATTTTTATGCTTAGAATTGTTTTAAAAAACTTTTTATTTTTTTGGGGAGAGTTGAAATATGTAAAATTATTATTTAAATAAAATATATTATAATAATATAATTTACCTTTGCAATCATTTTATATTTCTCCGCAAATTAATTCATTATTACAAAATAACGCCGGTAAATTTGTGAAGATACAATTTCATAAAATATATATAATTCTTCTTCGACAATAATGTTTTGATACCTCTTGTGCATTAGATTTACGACAAGAAATTTATTATTTTTTTTACTCTGGTCAAACTTTACGAATTCCATATTATTGTATTTTTTTTTATTAATATTATATTGCGTGAATTTAATAGATGATTAAAGAATAAAAACCGCAATTTTACACTATTATCTAAAATCATTTTCAATATCTCGTAGACTTCATCTGCCATAATTTTATATGGGAGTGATATATCTTTAAAATTTAAATAATTAATCAATATCGAATTCGGGGAGAAGAAAGAACGTATGAACATGATCACAAATTAAGATATCATTTATACTAATTAATATGATAATGTTAAAACAAAATTAGAAAAATATTTATAGCTGATAAACAAGTTTTGAGCCATTTTTTATTATTTAAAAACTAGCCAGCTTGTATTAATAACGCGTCCCGAAGACTCTATTTTAGGGTTTTTTCTCTTACTATAGTGATTTTTATTAGTGTTTAAGCATCTCTCGACAAAATATAAGTAATGGCTTTCTTGCAAACAGAATTAGATCATCTATTCGATACCTATATTACATGGGATTTCTATTTATCTCAAATATTTATTATATAGGTTGGCATTATAATATCGTACAGATAGACAATATCCTGTAGGAATTATATGAATTTATTAATCCCGTTTGAATTGAGTAATCTGGAGAGATAATCTAAAAACATTGCATAAGTGGGATAAAATTTCTCAATGTTAATGCATCGATCACTATTGACATAGTGTTCTATCATATATCATTGTACTTTTCAAATTGATAATCATATTGACGTCTTTCCTTTTTCACAATAACTTTAATTGTTCTCTGGAGGATTCAACTTTTTTCTCTTTTACTCCTCAGTTATGAAATTTATAAGGTGTCCCAAAAGATATAAAAGCTTATAGAAACAATAGAATAGGAGGTAACAATTATTATATTCTATTTCAATGCCACTTAACTAAAAGGATAACGAATATTTTTAATCTCTCATATATTATTTGTCACATATTTTTGTGATGTTTTGTGACAAAGAGTAACAGTACTCGGATTTGGAATTAAACTCACCATTAAATACGATAACTGAACATTTGTCGCAGCAGCCTGGCGGTATGCCCTCCCCGCAGCAGCTTAGCGTTGTGTCTTTGCAGATTATGAAATTATTTATTTTTAAAGTTGATTTATTTTAGTCTTATGAAAGTGGATATGCCCAATTTAGGTATTAGTCCATAGCTAATCAAAATATCTATTCAACAGAGAGAATTTATAAAAATCAAGTTATATTAATTGTATTAATAACAAATTTATTCCCTTACAATAAGAGTGTCGGTAAAATAGCATCTAATAAAAATATATAATTTAAATATTTTATGCTATATTATTTGATAAAATCTATGAGATATATTAACCTATTTTAAATAATTTTCCACTCGAAAAAATAAAGTGAAAAATTCATAAATAAGTAACTGTACCATATATGCAATGTTGAGAATTAAAGGGTTAAGCAAGAAATTTTGCACACCTCCGAGGAAGTTAAACTGATCACCTGATTTTTATTTACAGGGAAATGACATATATCAAATTTATTTTTGGATATGAATTAAGTGGTTGCACGAAGGTAATATTTCTTATAATTCTTTCATTACTTCGTATTTTATTTATAATCCAAATTTATATTATTTGTAACGTTTTCAAGCAATATTTCAGTAATGGGGCACTTTTTCGCATTTAATCGATTCACATTTATGATTTCACATATAGTAAAAATATTACATTGTAATTTGAGAACAAATATCAGATCTTCTGGGAGCTCAGTAAGAATAAAAGAATTTAAAGAAGATTAGTCATTAGAAATTTCACAAGATATCTTCCCTTTTTGTAAATATTTGCGACATCGATCATTTAAAATATTTTACGGCTTTTTTCTTGCCAGTATTTTTATATTTTTTTTAAATTATGCCCTTTATATTCTTTTTTTTAAATGTATGTATATATATAATTCTCAACTATCTTATACTATAATATAAGTTTTCGTTCTTCAATTCATATTTTTATTATAAATTTGATCCAATTTTTGTTTATCGACGAATTATATTTTTATTTGCTTTTTTAAAATATTAGATTTATTTCTAATATGTCAACATTATCTTTTTATTATAAGTTTTATATTTTTTTTTCTGGTCATGGGTTACTTTATTTGAATATTTACTGATATGATATGATGCAAAATATTTTAGCAAATAATTAATTTTTTGAAAAGGTAAAATAAATAAAGGGGAAAAATTGTAGAAATATAATTAACGGGAAAGGATAGGGGATAAAAAAAAGGAAGCTTGGAAAATGGAAGGTTATTCTATGGAATGGAAGAGATGAAGCTTAGATAGTTAGAACGAATGATGGCGGTAGCAAGTCTTTGGCGTAAGAAGAGGGATTCCTTAAGCTGGTCGGTTTTTTCGCGGATCCGTTTGCCTAAATCTTTGAAAATAATTGAGCTTTGCTACCGAAGGTGGTGAGAATGGTGCAGGCGATGGGTATGAATAAGAAAGAAGGGTCTAAGGAACTGTACTTTATGGTTTTGCGGGATTCAACGAGGGCGAGGGCATCGACGTTATGGTTAGAAGGTGCGTTTGGGTTAATGCAGGTGAAGTCCCAAACCAGGAGCTGACCTCTTGACCAGGGGATCAAGGACATTCCATCAGGACGTTTTCCGTCGGTTCTGAAAATTCCGGTTGGTTCTAGTCTAGATGGAATGCCTCCTGATTTGAGGGCGCGTAAAATGATGTCATTGCATTTGGTGTGCCGTAAAAAGCGGCCACGACAAAAGCGAAAATGGAGGCAGTGCCTACACTTGCTGTCGACGCTGGTTTCGCAATGTTTGCATTGGTATGGAATAACAATTTCGCAATTGAGCCGTAGTCCAATAGCAAATCTTAGCTCGTCAGCAGTGAGCAACAAATAGAGGTTGTTGAAGGGTATGGTTTCCAGAAACTCGTAACCAGATCCTTAGTTCAGTTGGTGAAAAACTGTGAGATCGTCGTGTATTGTTATATAAATATTTCGTTTACTTATATGATTTGAAGGTTCTAAGGCATGAAACATATACTTTTTATATTAAATTTCAAAATATTTCTATATATAAATTATAATAAATGTGAAAGGATTAGTTTAATATAGGGAAATAATAATACTTTTTTACAAAATAAACCAAAATATTAAGAGATAATCACGTGACTGGTTTTTACCATTTCATGTTGGCCTTTTCCATATGTTTTTATTTGAATAACAATTTTTTTTGAAGAATGCCTTGAAAATGAATAATGAAGATGTTTGTTATTTGTGATAGATTTTTAAACTTATATTTTTACTAATATTAAGCTTGGCTGCCTATTAGACTGTGTCATTATTTCAATTAAAGATTTGGAGCACAATCCAACTTCATTATTTTCACTTCAAGGTTCTTATGTAACATATTTAGTTAAAGTCAGGTAATTTTGATATACATGGCAAATATTTAATGTAAAATATTACTATTCTTTTATTTTTGTGTAATGGTTTATTTAGCTGAACTACTTGAATATTATTATTTTTCGATAATTATACCCTTTTATTTATATAAGTATAAACTTTTATTGGTAATTATTTAGAGTTTTGATCAAAGAAAAGGCTGATCAAATTGGATTTAAAGAAAGTACAACTGTATGGCGAAGATATAGTGATTTTGAAATATTGAGGGAATATCTTATTTCATCATATCCATTTTTATTAATTCCACCTTTACCTGATAAAAGGGTTAATTCTACATTGAATGGCATGGTAAATTATTATTTTAATTCAATATATACTGATATCTTTACATCAGGTGCCACTAAATGGAATTGTGACAATTAACTGTTTAAAAAATTATACATTTTAAATATTAAAAAATATCCAAAATTATGCCAAATTAACCTTTTTATATATTGATTTATTTTGTCAAATATACCTTTTTGCAGAATAGATTCCTTATAAAAAATTAATGAAGCATATTATTAACATTTTAAAAAAATATAATAATAAATTGCCTTGGTGTCAGCCAATGGTATGGGTAAAAAGTGTAGATTATCGGGCTTTGGCATGAGTGTAACTCTTAAAGAAAATATTTTAATCATGTTCCTATTAGAATCTGTCCAGTCCACACTTTAGGACTCAAACATTAACAAAATAAAATTAGAATATGACAATTTATTATTATGGGGCCAAGCATTTAAATTTACTAAAACAGTTGTCTCTACTCTTAGAAGAACTAGGAGTACCCCTAATCCTAAAGGGTGTGATATATATCTTAATATTATTCTAAAAACCTTCTTAAAAATCTTGATCTCTAATGCTTAATAATATTGTTATCATTTTTTTGAAATGATATTATTTTGTTACTTATATTGCTTACTAATTAGAGCGTTTTTGTTTTACATTGTATATCAACGGATGTATTTTTAAATAGTAAGTAAATTGGTTAACACATTTTTTGGCATCAAAATAAGACACAAAATAGTTTTAGTCGTTCACAATTTTTTTTTATAAAAATTGCCACTTCAATTTAAGTAAAAAAAACATTTTGAGCTCAATTTGTATGGCAATATTAGGCCCATCTCAAACTCAAAATTAACCTGATTTCACATGTAAAAAAACAACATTAAACACACATTAAGCCTAAAAATTTAATTTAATTGTACAGCTGTTAAATATCATCTTACAAATGGTTTTAATTGAGCCTAGTTTAGGTGGACCATATAAAATCATATTTTAATTGCATTGTTTTTTGTAAATACTTGATTAAGTTATGTCTTTCCATAATATTACAATTTTTGAATCTTGAATAACTATTTTTCATTTAGAATCCTTGGACTTTTTTTCAGTTTCCTATTACATGAATTAGTTTTTTTTTAATATCAGGTGACCTATGCGTGGCATAAATTGCTCTTGGAAGTCAATGAGGACGAAGAATTTTTGGAGAGGAGGCGTAAAAGATTAGAAGTAATAATATAAAAATTAAAACTATTGATAATATTCAAAGTTGTTAAAAGATACTTTTTAAATGGATCTAGATATAGATGTCTAAAAATTTATCTAGATACAGATGCAACTTCCAAAAAGTTATCTTGACACAGATACAATTTTAAATTTATCTAGATACAGATACAAATTTTATTATACTCTTAGATAAGGTTTGAATAAACCTAAATTAGGATTCTATTGTGAAAATTCATGAAATGAGCTAAAAAATTTATTGACTCGATATCACATTTATAAAAATATAACTAACATAATGATTTTTAGATATTAATATATATTATATAAATAATTATTAGATTTCATCAGAGTTGTTATATCTTTTTTGGTAGCTATAGCTAATAACGGCTACTTTTTTTGTAATTATTTAATTTTTTAGCATGCTACTTAGCTAATTTTAATAAATATAATGAAGGTAAACATGAAAATTTAAATATTTATTATAATTAATTATTTTTATGATTTATTATTTAATTTTGAAATTGAAATATATTTTTAATTTATAATTTATATTTTCATTTGTATTATAAACCTAAATCAAGTGTTAATAATTTAAATCTCATCGCTTATGGGTATTTAAATCTTGAAAGTGATTCAATGATATTAATGAAATGGAAGATACCAGGGAAGAAAATGTTCTTATTATCTATAATACAAATTTCCCATTCCCTAGATTTAAAAAAAAATTTTAAATCAATAAAAACCAAAACTGGCTTGAAATTCATTTGTTTAAAATGTAAAAAAAATATTTCCTCAAATCAATCCAGTTATAACAAGAAACACCAAAAGTCAAATTGTCATTTTTGCATTCTATTTATTTTATAAGACTGTTCATGCCAATAGTTTTAAGAAAATGGAGAAACATCTATAGATTTTTAACGGCCAAATGAATTCTTGGGAGGTATAGTCCATCATTTAGCATTATGATTAAAACTAACCCCTGGTACAATTTATTTATGTCGCCAGATACTAATGAAAAAAATAGCAGATAACTTTAAAGTGATGAAAGATGCTCTAATAGTAGAGTTATCAAAGATCATATATATGTACCTCAGCAGATAGTTGGACACATAACACTAGGTAAAAACTTATAAAATGAAACAAATTACCATAAATATTTATTTTTATTACATAAATTTTTTTATAATCAAAACTAACTATAGTTTAATATAAATGTTGATTTTTATATATTTACTATATAACATTTAAAAAATAAAACAAATTTGTTTCTAAATTTTTTTTGTAAAAAGTAGCTAAAGCTACTTTTAAGTAGCTAATAGCGCGCTACTTTTTTTGACAAATAGCGGTAGTGCGCTATTTGTAAAAGTAGCGATTAAAAACTCTGGATTTCATTAATAAAATAATATAATATATGAAAATATATGATTAAATGATTATAAATAATTATTAGATTTCAGTAATAAAATATTTTTAAAATTTTGGCCATTAAGGCATCCTCGTTTATCTGTAAAGACATTTTTACCTATACTAAAAAGTCTTTCTACCAGGGCGCTGGAAGGGATTGTGGTATATTTAATGAATAACAATTTTATATCAGGATACTGTTTAAAAATACTAAAATCTCTACATTCTTTTTTGAAAAAATTATTTAAAATTCGTTGATATCAGAATTTAAATCATTATTAACAATCATATCTCCTGCTGTGGGATACTGAAAAAAAAATCGGATAAATTATTAAAATTGTTTGCACTCAGTTGAAGACTTTGATAATTCATCAACTAATCTTTCTATTAATTGTTTTTTTTATAAAAATTTTCATCCATTTGTATCCATGTCCAATCAAGTTTAAAAAAAGGATGAAGCATAGTTGTTAGAATATTTTCATCTACAAAAATTGTCCCAATAAACCTAGAATTATTAAATATTGATTAATTTATAAAATATTTACCTATCTTCAATCCCTTTAAGTAAGGCATCAAAGAGTGGTAAACAAAGTTTCAGGTTCAGTTGTTTAAATTTTTCAATTTAATAATCAGCTTTGAAATAGTTGCACAGTAATAAGCTGTGAACATATATTTATCTCCCTGCAGGATATCAAGGGAACTAGCTATTGGTTTCATTATTTAAAATAATGTTGTATATATTTTTATTTTTTTTTCTCTTTAGCTTTCACCTTCTCTGGTGGTAAGCTCCTTCAACATCTCTCTCCTTTTTATGTTATCATACAATCTCTTTTATCTAATTTATACTTCTTTATATTGGCTCTAACTTTATGGTCCCATTGAAATTTTGGCCTTCCTCTTTTACGTTTGCTCATCACTTCCAAACTCTCAACCTTATTTCCTATGTAGTTCATAGGCCTTCTCATTGTGTGCCCATACCACCTAAGTCTGTTTACCATTAACTTAGTCTTAATGGGCATTACCTTTAAACTACTTAGTATTCTTGTACTGCGCACTTTATCCTTTCTTGTTACCCCAGCAATCATCTTCAGCATTCTCATCTTTATAGTTTGTAGACTTCTCTCGTCTGATTCTTTGGTTGGCAATGCTTCCGAACTATATAGAATATTGGTTGTACTATGGAACTGTAAATTTTTCCCTTTAATTTGTGTGGATTCTTTTGTCAAATAGCACTCCAGATAAAGATCTCCACTTTAACCACCCTTTATTAATTTTACTCTTTATCTCTTTTTCTATTGTGCCATTTGTTGGTATAGTGGAGCCCAAATATTTGCAGCTTTCAATTGCCGATATCTGCCATTCATTTATATCAATACTCTCTATTTCATCTCCTCCTATCACCATATACTCCGTCTTTTCTCTATTTACTTTTAATCCATGCGTTTCTAGGATATTTATCCAACTCACTAGTCTTTCTTTCATTTCATCCTTAGATTCGGCAAGTATCACAATATCATCTGCAAATATCATATTCCACGGGACTGTTTGAGGTATAGACTGTGCTAATACATCTATTACTGTAATGAAGAGAAGTGGGCTGAGAGCCGACCCTTGATGAACTCCTTCAGCTATTGTGAAGCATGCTGAAGTACCTGTTGTACTACGGACCATTGTTGTATGGCCCATATACATATCCTGTATTATTCTTATATATTTTTCGGGAATCTTTTTATAGCTTAGCGCCCACCAGATAGGTTTTCTTGGGATTCTATCGAAGGCCTTTTCTAGATCGAAAAAGACCATGTGTAGCTTTTTGTTCTTTTCCCTGTATTTTTCACTCATTTGCCTAATTGCGTGGATAGCGTCAGTTGTTGATCTTTCAGGCATAAAGCCAAACTGAGTCTCTCCTATTTCGATTATGTCTCTTAATCTTTTTTCTATTATTTTTTCGTATAGTTTTAGACAGTGTGACATATGCCCCTGTAATTTTGACAATTGTGTGGATCCCCTTTATTTTTGAAGATAGGATAGCTCTGCCTTCATTTTTGGGGAACCTCTTCATTTCCAAGTATTTTATTGTACAGATTTGTGAGGAGATATATTCCATCATCTCCTATGCTTTAAGGCTTTCTATTGGAATATCGTCTAGACCCCTAGCTTTGTTGTTTTTATATGCTTGAGGCATGTGGGTTAAGACAAGGTCGAAGGTTTGCGCAAATTTCAGTATGTGCTCTCCTTCATCATTTCTTTCTCCATATCCAAAACCACCATGATGCCTTTTCTATCTATCTTTTGCTTTTCCCACAAGCACATTTATGTCGCCACCTATTATGACTAGGTCATCCTTAGGTATTTTCATTACAGCTTCATCAAGGATAGCTCTAAAGTCATCTTTCTCTTCTTCCTTGCAACCCGTTTGAGGAGCATATACTGAAAGGATGTGTAGTATTGCTTGACCAATGCAGAGTTTTATCTTCATTAGTCTATCAGAGATCTTATTCTACTTCTGAGGAGGTTAGATCTTGACTGAGGATGATGCCGACACCGTTCTTATTGCTAACAATTCTATTATAGTACAATTTATACCCATCTTCAATCATCAAAGCCTTCTATCCCTTCCATTTCGTCTCTTGTATGCACGCTATATCAACTTTTCTCTTGTTCAACATTGATGCCAATTCTCTCGTCTTACCTTTAAGCGTCCCAATATTCAAACTTGCTAATCTCGTTTTATTTGCTTTGACCTTTAATTTACTTTTCACAGGATGGAGGTCTACACCCTGCGTGTCGCTTGGAGGGAACGCCCTAGCTTTCATATTCATATTTCCATTTGTTTCCTTCATTTTGTTCATTGGACAGGTATCCTTAGCACCCGGCTGTCCAAGCCTGTCGGTGACCGGGGTGTCATCTCTAACCTCCGAAATTTACCATATGTCTTTACACATCAGTCATCGCATAAAAACTTGAAAGTTTTTATGCTCCTTACCAGGATTGAACCTGCGTCCTTCTTCGTCCTTCTGTTTCTAAGCATACATCTAACCCATTAGGCCACCCCATTTTGTTTATAATTTACTAAACAATATTCATGAATAAAATCACATTCATTAGATAAAAATCTAGATAGTTTTATTCCATGGCACAATTTTTCAGATTTAGTCTTAATAATTTCTGACATTAATTGTAAAGCATTATAAGTGGAGTTCCATTCAGCTGAATTTTGAGATTTCTTTTGTCCATTCATATATTGTGGCATTTAGTTAATGTTGTGCTATATATATAATATAAATTATAGTATATTGTTTACACTTCAAGGCTCTATTGGCATCTACATTGGCAACAAGATTCAATGTGTGACTGGCACACCATTGATGATTAGGTAAAATATATAATTCTGATATTTCAAAATAGCAGTAGTATAAAGATCTGATATTGATATTGGTGTAACTGCTTCTTCATCTTCCAGATCATCATTGAATTCACTAATATTTTCCATTGGCTGAAAAACTCTATCATAAATAAGTAATATTATCTTTATATTTATAATAAAATCAACCTAAGGGACTTAAGAAAGTTTTTTGCATTGTCTGTAATGGTCTTCGAGATTTTATTTTGTATGCAATAATCCTTTGCTATATCTTGTAAATTTTTTGCTATTTTATCATATGTATGACTACCAGTCATTCTTTTACAAGCCAACGCTACATTTTTTTTCTTTCCAAACTTGTTGAATCTATACAGTGTGCAGTGACTCATATGTATGAACTAAAAATTAACATTTCTTAAAACTGCTCAAATAATTTGTTCGTAATTAAATTATTATACAAATTTAAATGTTAGCTATACCGACGATAGGCACTCCAACAATCTGCTGTTTTTTTATTCTCCCATCTTTAGGAAATTCTAGCAACCACTGTCTGTCTGCAAATTATTATTTTTTTGTGGAGCTAATGTTTTGATCATTTTTATAAATGATGGATTTTCAACAACTGAAAATGGCTGAATGCTATCTATTATAAAATCAGTTATTAAATCCTCTAAAGTGGTTTGGGTTAAAGTCTGAGGTCTCTTGGAAAAAAAATCAATGGACGATGAGCCTAGTCCAATATTTTCTTTAATATATTTCTTCTCCTTCCCCTTTTTTATTTTGATTAAGAAGTGTTTGATGTTTTCTCTTAAAATTTAAAATTACAATTGTAAACATTTATTTAGTATCTATACCCTTAAATGTTTTACAATGTTGCAAGTTGAGGTAATGCTAACTGAAATTTGTGTATTTTTTGGTAGACATGGCAAACATTTTACTATCCGAGATTTGTTTTCTTTATTTTGAGATATTACTTTATTAATTATATCATCTTCTTCATCAATATTAATCTAGAACAAAAAAATTAATATAATAATTTATATAAAAAAATAAAGTACCAATTCCATTGCAAATAAGAATGGCGAATTCCCTGAGATGAATTGTAATAAATATCAGAATTTGCTTGTTATTGATAACTCGGACATAATATTTAATGAATATTTATACATATAATTTTTTATTATAGTAGTCTTTAAATTTTTTAATATATATATATTAATATTAAGTTATATGCTCATATGAAATAAAATAAATTTTTCATTCAAGTATTTTTATTTATAATATAAAAAGGCGTTAAAGTATATCAAAATGTATCTTAAAAAGTATCTAAAAACAGATACAGATAACTCTAAAATAATATCTAGATATAGATACTTTAATCAAAAATCTATCTAGATACAGATACCCCTTTTTTATATCTAGATACTTTAACAACTCTGATAATATTTAATGAAACCACTGGTGATTAAATCACCTATCAATTGTTAATAAAAATCATTTTAAAAAAATCCCAGAAATTTTTGCATCGTTTAGCTAGCCATCCTATATTATGTCGGGACGTTGCCTTTATTTCCTTTTTGCAGGAAGATCCTTTTTATATTTCTGACAAGTCAGCCATCGCGTCTATCCCTTCTAGGATGGCTAATGGACTGTCCTTCGAAGAACCTGCCGAACGACGAGAAGTTATTTGGGCCGAAGTGAGGACTTATGCTGAAGCTCTTAACACCTGCTTGGGGTCCTTTCTTGCCATTAGAAAAGTTAGTTTTGTACATTTAATAAAAAAAAATATATAATTTAGTGTTAATTTATTTACCAATATCCCTTCTAGGGTATTCCCAGCCTAAAACATCATAAGTTGTTTTCTTTCTTTCCATATATATATATATGTATATGATAATAAAACATTTAGCGCATTTTTAATGTAATTATCAGAGACCTGCAGAGGTACCTTTTTACACGGCCCGGTCCGGATTAAAAAAAATTTTTTAGCCCCGGCCCGTAAAATTTTTTTAAATTATTATACGGCCCGACCCATGTACCCGGGCTTAGGGGCGAGCCTGCAAGTCTCTGCAAAATATATTATATAATTCTTTTTAAAAAAAAAACCGACGTAATTTTATTTTTGTTTGTTTCTTCATAAAATACGTGTTAGGATTTGCGGGAGAAGGTGTACTTGATTCACAAGATCCACGGTAACTATGGTCGTGTATTTTTCGACTGGGCCAAGGGAGAGAAGGGCTGGGGAAATGCCATGGTTAATGGCGGAAAGTTGATGACCGAGTACGCTCTTATCGTAGGTAAACCATAATCAAATCAGCAACTTAAGTTAAAAACCCGTCATAAACCAAAATTATACATTATTTTTTTCCCCATTCCTTTCACAGTGATCATTAATCTTGTATAACGATTTTTTTTAAAAAAAATTTATATTTAAAATCGTTAACCTTTATGTATGGCGAAAGTCAACTGACTCGCCGGCCGGGCTCGAGTTCGGCAGATAAAATGACTTATTTCCATTTGGTTCCTAAACCACATATTTAATCTGTGCCATCCATCATAATCTTTATTTTTTTTGGAATTTACCACTTTTTTTAAATTAAAAAAAACATACTTTTCTCGAATATTCCGTATTTAAAAAAAAACAGATAATTTCGTTAGTGCCGAAGAGGAATGGGAAGATAATCTTAGGGAATACGCCTCCTACTCAGAAACGCTCAGGAATCTCTCTAAAAATTACAAATCAATCGCCGACCAAGTTAAAAAAGGTCCCATTCATTCTAGGCAAAATCAAAAAGACTTGGTTGGCCATCATAGTAATGGCCGCGAAATTGGGAATGCCGTTCTTGCTGATAACGGGCCAATCAAAATGCTGCGTATCGAGGATCGCGAAAATTTTGCTTCGAACGATAGTGAGAAAAATGATTCTCGGGGAAAAGAAAATGCCGACATTGCTAAAACGGTCGCTGCTACCGAACAGGTTTCTGGCATGACTGATGTCAAGATTTCTGAAATAGTCTCTACGGAACAAGTGTCCGATAAGGATAATGTTGGCATTGCTCAAACAGTTGCTATCGGACAATTTCCCTTCAAAGACTCCGTTAGTGGGGATGTGCTCTTTAGCGCTGATGAGGTATTCAAAATATTGGTGTAATATTTTTTGGATATAATTTCAAATATATGATGAGGAAGATACAATAATTTTAAAAAAAAACGCCGTATAGCTTGTATTATATTATATTTTATTTTTATAGTATGGATAATGAGGCGAATTTTATTAGGAATTTTACCGGATAATTTTTAGGCACATAAATTTTCTAAAAAATAATTGTTAGCGGCCTTTGCAGGGTTTCACACTGAACACGAAGTTATTCCAATTTCTCGATTTTTTATCATTTTTATCAAAGATCTACCAATTAATTTAATCAAATTAACAATTGATAATAAGAAGATATCCTTCCTCATAATAAATAGGAAATTTTACATTATTTAATTTTGTAGGTTATCCAAGTCCCACTTAAATATACCAATAATATACCTATATTATAGTTTTTTCGCGATGAATAATATTTTGAAAAAAAATTTATAGTAAATCCATTATATCTTAGCAACCCATAATTCACAATGAGAAAAAATTTTATTGATCTATTATTTAGAAGGCGACAAGTCCTGATGGCTTGCACACCTCTGACGCAACCTTCGATAGTAACGGCAGTGCCTTGTATGCAAATCGGATCGATTCAGCGGAGCACGCGAAAGCTGAACACGATATCAAGTTTAAATTAGATTATTTTAATCGTAATTCACTATTATTCTTAAATATAGAATCAAATAACTCGAGGAAAATAGGATTTTTTAAAAAAAAGGAACAAAAGAAAGAAAGGTTTATCTTTGTTGATTCTTAGTTAAGGATGTAGTTAAACAAGAGGGACGGGGCAGGATTGATCCACCTCTACAAATTATATATGAAAAATACGGGACGCTTCTCAAAGACGCTATACGGGATCGAGTTTGACTGTGTTAAAGCTCACTTAGTATTACCCTGAATTCAGAGTTAGCGTGATTTCGCGGCGAAGTATACAATTCGTGGCGCAGAATACAAAAATACAGTATATTTTATCATGCTAACTGTGAAATTTGGGGTTATTTTTACTAAACAGTCGCTCAACCCTAAGCACTCAAAAGGGTAAGAAAAAAAATAATCGCCTAATTGTAATCGATTTCCGTATCCAACCCATCTTTATTTTGGTATCGCTAATCACTTTTCCCCAATGCCACAATTGTAATTGATTACTTTTTATCGCTATCGCTACTACAAAAGTATCGTCGTTACAACCTTTACTGATAATTTTAATTTTTTTTTTTTCAATTTAACGTTCGTATAATGCGTAGCCAACTGAAGTATCTCAGCTCAAAAAATGACCAAATTTTAATTAATTAATGCCTCTGTATTTTTGTCGATTTTAGAATTCTTTATTATTTAACGAATATCCTTTTTATTTGTGGTCTATCAAACGGGGAATTGTATTGTAACAACTAAAATGTTTACTAATTGCAAGGTTGGCTTAAATTTTGTTGCGGATAATTAAATTTTTTCCTTTATACTGGTTAAAAGGTAACTAATAAAAGCATAAAAGATTGACTTAGATTTTGAAATTAGTTTCTCCAATCGTTTAGCCAAATTTAACGGAGATGATGTAAAGATATTATATGTTTTTTTTTTAAAAAAAAAAGCAAAATAAAAGTTACAGCAGGAAAATAGAAAATATATAATCATCTGAAGGGACCTGGCCGAAGGTCAGGGAAATCGAGTTTAAAAGCGACCCCCCCCCCCACACAAATAATTTCGTAATCCCCACTCCCCTTAGATAAATCCTGTCTACGTCACTTATAAGATGACACAATTATTGTGATAAATAAATTTAGATCAATGAAAGCAATTTTTGCAAATGTTTTTTTTTGTTAAACTCTGAAAGTCTGATTTCAAAGGAATTATAGTAACCAAAATAAAGAGGTCGAGATTTAACTGACATGAACACAATTTCTAATGACCCCTACAATTTTCAGTTTATGCATTATATTCTATTGGTATCACCATCACTCATCATTTCTTTGAAGTAAATTAATGAAATATTTTGGCTTTGCTCTGGGGGTAAAAGAAACATTTCTCCTCACAAAACATATAAATTACAAGTATTATAAGCTTCTTTTTTCTTACTACTTTGAATTATTGTGTATTATGAGTTTAGGGTAATAAAGGGGGGATCGGGAGCATTGTCATAAAGTGTTGGGATAGACTGTAATGATAATCTCAGGCTTAAATAGAAACGATACAAATACAGATACATATTATTCAGTACATTATATATCCTGAACAATTTTTCATATTTATTTTAAATAAATAAATATCAACTTATGGTACAATTCGAAGTGGAAAAATTTTTTTAATAGCATGACCTGTCAGATTTGACAAGTTATTAATAAAAATGATTGAATTTTATTTATAAAACCTTCTGTAATATACCTTAACCCATATCTCTTAACTTTTAATTATCCCTAACTTATATCTTACCTACTTTTTTTACCTTTATACAATATATCTCATCCAATTTTCTTGAGTTGGGTTGTTATCATAAATATAATGTCCAAAAATTATAAATGTTTGAAGAAATTGAGGTTGTATGAGTGACAAGAACCATTATCTATAAATTTTCTCTCGGAAGATAGGAGCAACCTTTTTTAAATAAAGTTGCATGTAGCATATCCTTCTGTTAGAGCCCTATAAATTAGATTTTTTTTTAAGCAAGGCCCAATGTTTTTGTTATATTTTCCAAGGCCAAGCCCCTCCCATATTTGTTGAACCGTTATCCTTTTCTCGAGCATTAAAATTCTAGGTCCATCATTCCATGAGCAGCTTAGAATATGAATTAGGCATCATTTATTATGCGTTATAGCGGAAAGATAAATGATGTTGTAAAAATGAACTTGAATTGGGTAAATATTTATATTTTAAAAAAATCGTAACTCACTTAAAATTCAAAAAAAAATCCTACTTTGGGAACCAGAAATTTTGTGTGGGGGGAGGGGGGGGGGCTTATCTCTCAAATATTACCACCACCCCCTTTTCCCAGTATAGCTGGGTAAGTGCAATATATTTTGCCGCTTGGAATTTTCCTAGTTTATAGCCCAAAAACTATCACTTTGCACTCTGGGTTTTTTTTCTTAAAAAGATGGCGGCCCAAATTTGAAAGAAACGGATATAAATTTAATATTGTTAACAGATTTTCTTTGGCACCTATTGAGCCGAATTCGCCGACATTTAGCCCATTACCCTATTATATCCCCTAAAGTTACGGGAGGTTACGATTGAACTAGATCATAAATATCTTCTTTGTTGTAATCATTGGGAAATGAAATTTTTGTAGCAAGGTTTTTTTTTACGATCGGATGCCCTTCCTGACATCAAACCTCTTTAAGTGGTTTTTACACACCGTCGAGGAGACTGTGATCCTATTCTAGACCCAGACCACGGGGAATCTTTTCAGACTTCCGTTTGCCGCCAAAAGACGTTGCCACCACTTCCCGCTACGTCAAATCAAGTTATTTGTACTATAAAATAAATAAGAGAAAATTATACGTAATTATTTAAACTTCATTGAAACATATAACCGATTTAATGTTGTGATTTTAAATCCGTTAAAAGGAATTTTCATCATCGAGCCATGATCGAGATTCAACAGTTTAAAGATCGCAAGGAGAGAGATATGAAAACCTGTTTCCGTGAATACGCCCAAAACCAATTGATTTTGAACAAAAAGGTTAATCGAGTTATTATTTGAAAATGATTGATGAATGACATTTTCCGACGTAGACCAATTATCTTATTTTAAATCACGTGATTATGAAACTGATAGATATCTTAGCTTTTCGCGGAACCTGCCCATTCGATCCAATCGAACTCGAATCGGTCGGGCCAGACCGCGATTCTTAAAATTTCGGTCCGGGCTTTATTTTATCCCAGCTTTTTTACCTTATTTTATAATACGAAAAAAAAGATTGTCTCATTGAGACTATTAACTTGTATATACATATTTATTATTATTATATATTTTTTTTGAATACGCAGTCCTTGGATATATGGGTAAAGCTCAAAGAAAATTTTAGTCGCGAAGAATAATGGAGTCAGCATGAATCGCCTGGATTCCAATGGGATCGGTGGCAACACATCTTTTGATTCACCCACTTCGATTTAATTTATATATTTATTTAGATAATATTTATTTATTGTGCTCTGTTTATATAACATATTTTTTATAATAAATATTTCTTTTTTTTAAATAAAAGAAAGAATTATATCAACCAATGAGACCTCAAGATTGTATCAACCAATTAAACTTCTCGAATTACAAAAATATAAAAGCATTTTTCATTTAAATAAAAAAAAATTGAATATTTTTTTTCGACCTAACCCTAAGTCTGCACGCCAATCATAAATAGTATTTTTGTTAGTCTAAAAATCACATTTTATTAAACTGTTATTTAGAATATCTAAAAAAAAAGAAGAAGTTTTTATCAGATGGCTGGATCAAAGGGGGTGTAGGTGTTCCTTTTCTAAAATTTGGCGCGGTTTCCTCTTCTGATCGTTAAAAAAAACTTTAAAAATATTTAAACAATTTAATAAATCCTCTAAAATTGAATCGCACAAAATTTTAAACATTTTCACACATATATTATTGGCATGGCACTTTTGTTAGATCCGGTTCGTTGCAATTTTAAAAATGGGCTCCGGTCTTGGTTTCTATAAATTAGGGGACTTCCGGTTCCGAGAGTTTTTGTTACTATATTAGTCCCGATTCCAAGGGTTTGGATTTCTATATCTGTCCCGGTTCTGAGGGTTCTGATTACAGTTACTATACTGAATTCCGAGAGTTCTAGTTACAGTTGCTCTATTGGATTCCGAGGATATTCTGGGTTCATATCCTGTATCGATTAATCAGCCGATAAAATTTAATATTTACCCACCCCCCCCCCTTTGATTACAAAAAAAAAAAGCAGCAAAAATTATTTCAATTTATCAATTTTAAAATTAAAGAGCGGGTTTAGTCTTACCTGAAAAAAATTGATTGACAGGTCTCTGATATAAACGTTTGAAAAAATTAATTTTTTTGAAGATTTATTTTTCTCCTCTGTTGCCAAAAAATGTTTGAAGATAAATAAAAATGATCTTACGAGATCAAAAATCTTTGAGTATCAATTCAAAAACTCTGGAAATAAACAAAGACCATTTCCCAAAGAATCGGATTCCATTATTTAGTGTCGATCCGATCAAGATTTTAGCCGGAATAGAATTATTTTAGTTTAGAGATTTTGGCAAATAGAGGTTCCTCCTAGCCTTTCTGCCCAAACCCACGAACAAAATGTCCACACTTATATAATATTATTTCGACTGAAATCCGATGGCGTATAATGATACCTCTAACCTGACGATGCATTCATAATAATGCATTGTCGTCGAATGCAAATCAGCTGGAACCGCCATTTTGGTAACCCATATAAAGTAATCATCGATAACTCGCTTCCTTTATTATCTCGATGATCGGGCCAAATTCTTTGATAAAGTTTGCGTCAGACATGGGGATAAATTGGCCTCTCGTTTTAAAAATTTTTTTAAATAACGATACGGGTGACAAAAATGGTGTCTCCAGCTGTTTTTAATTTGATGTACGCTCTACTAGGTTATTATATGTCATTGCTGAAATCGTAATCGGGCATTTTTTTTTCTGTAAAAAAAATGGACCCCAAAACGGCTCGTAAAAAAAAGGATTATTTTTAAAAATTATAAAAATAAATTGTCAATTTATAAACATCATTTTTTCTCAAAAAAAATAAACTAATAATATTTGACTATTTTCTAAAATTAAGTGGTAAGAATGAGCCACATGTTCGCTTGTCTATGACCCTCTATCCCTTTCCAAATTATTAAAAACTTCACTTCACTAATTTCATTTTATTTTAAAACGATTGAGAAATTTATTTTATATATTTTGAAATTGAATATATAATTATATATATATATATATATATATATACCTTTTATTAAAAAATATTAAATTAAATTTGCGGCGTTTACCGTTGTTTAAACGAAAATGAAGAAATAAATGTACAAAAGTTTTTGTGTCTCTCTAATATTAACAAACAATTAATATACTAAATCGTTTCGAAGCAGAGGCAAAAAGGAGTTTGTATATTTGTAGTATATATAAATCGGATATTTTATATTTGTATTAAATACCTTATTTATACGGGCAATAAAATGTCACAATTATCTTTCCTTTAATATAATACTATAACAATTTTAACGATTATTTATATCTAAAAAAAATTAAAAGGAGGGGGAAATAAAATTACAATTAAAATAAATGATTAAACATTTCGGAAAAAAAAAGAAACAAACCCCGAAAAACAATTAGCGAATTACGCGACCAATGTCCAAATTTTGGGTGATAGAGTTGTTAAGTGGCTAATTTTTGAGCCTATTTTTTAAAATGGCTAACTCAATATTGCCTCAAGATTCTGATAATATTTGCCTAGAACCTTTGTTCCTTAGAAAAATCTTCAGGCTTGCTTAATGTCTTTTTTCCTGGATACAAAATTGAGTTAGCCGTTTTTTAAAAATCGGTTCAGAACGAGCCGTTTAACAACACTGGAGTTTAATATAAAATTGGAGAAATTTATTTACTATCCCAAAATTTTATATTTTTTTTTTTTAAATAAAATTTATTAAATAATTTTTAATGTATTTTTTTTTAATTTTTTTTTTTTAAATAAAAAGAAAGGAACTTTTTCTTCTTACCACAAACTGATGAATTTATATATAATTTTTTTTATAAATATCATTGACCTTATATAAGCAAAAAAATTATATAAATTGGTGTCTTAAAAAAATGATATGATATACCATACATCTTTAATAGTGAAAAAATTAAAAAAGAATTTACCTGTAGTAAATTACTCCTTTTTATCACTTGTAAATTGATAAAAAAAAAATATCCCAAACAAGATACAAAAATTTCATTTTTGAAAAAAAATAAAATTAATTTTTAATTAAAAAAAAAATAAATTAAAATAATAGCCATTGGGGGGTAAGAGCCATTTTTTTTTTTAGTAAAAGAAAAATAGCAAAAAAAATAAAATGTCATTAATTTAACCTTTTTATAAATATAAATATTTTATAAGGAGAGGTTTTTGTTGATGTTTAAAAGATAATTATTCAAAATTTCCGTTTTTTTTAAAAAAAATCTTAGTCAACTCTCAAATCTTAACGAAATATTTTGTTGACAATCTAAAACCAGGATTCGGATAAGTTATGCTGGAATGTTATGTTTTGATGACTCTAACCCGTTGTTTTTTTTTGAGTACAACCAAAAAATTTTTAAACATTAAAATTAAATATATATAATATATATGTTATTTCTCCGAAAACATTTTTGTACGCGTAATTTTTTAATTTTTATTTTGTTAAAAAACACATAACAAAATATAGCTTTGAGAATTTTGTAAATCATTTATCTATCCATTATTACATGTATATAATCATACTATATATATATACCTTGTTTTTTGGGTTTATGTTTAAACGAAATACTTTGCCCGAAGAATATTAATTTTTTTTTTCAAAAAATAACAAAATTAAAAGAAAGAGAAGAAGAAAAAAAATGACTTTTAATTAATTAATGTTCTCTTCTTCGCTAGTTTGTTTTTGAATACTCCGTAATTTTAATTTAAGAATCTGAGAGCCGGTGGTAACAAATTCTCGGTCGGCCATTTAAAAAAATTCTGTTTTATACCCTAAGCTATAAGGTAAGGAACCACGGCAAGCAAAAAAAATGGCAGCCCCCTCGATAATTGTTCTAAGATGGCTCTGTGTTGTCCCCTATTTGCGCGGGCTTGAAAGAAATTTAACAACGGGTTAAAATACCCTTTTAAAGAAAGAGCAAAATAATTTCGGGGGAAACCAGCAAAAAAAAAATAATAATAAAATTAGGAAATACTAAGTGAAAATTTTATGATCAATTTATAGATGACACTTCGGTATTCGATTAAACACGATGGGGTAATACAAAATGTACCTTGGGGTAGGGATTTTTTATTTTATTATAAAATTTGTCTAATATTTGTAAATTAATAAGAATGGAATTACGCATCAAAATAAAAAATTTCTTTTCAGCGGACCGATGTGCCCCAACCCCTTCTTCCGCACGAGGGATGGTGGCGGAAGTATACTGTATCTGGTACCGGTGTCAACTTGCATCAACGTGGGTATGTTGTTGAAGCTCACTGTCACGTTGTACGCGTCATATGTGGTATCCTTGACCCCCAGATTGTACACTTACAAATTCTGCAGATCATATTCTTCAAGGTCTGTGTTTGAGTCGTCGTCATCATCGATTACTTCGATGTTCATAGCATAGTTCGTATTCAATTGACTATCACGATCTTTGTAATCGGAAGATCTATTGTAAGTATTATTGTCATTTTTGTACTGGTTGGACCGCAAATAGATTGATGGTGGCAAATCAAAGTTAGTACTGTTTAACGGCTCGATTTAAGCCGATTTTTAAAAACGACCAACTCAATACGCCAGAAAAATGTTACGCAAGCCTGAAGATTTTGCTCAGAGTTGGCACAAAGATCGAGGCTTAGAGAATATTTTTACTCGCTAAAATAATAAGTTTTAGCCTTTTTTTTACAACACTCATCAAAGTTACCTAAATTGCTTAAAATAAGCTGTATTAGTTAATGTAATTCGTTACTATTAAGCTATTTTGTATTATATCACCTATATTTTACCAATTATTTTGGAGGGAAAACCAGGGATTCTGATTAGGTTTGAGAATATAACGAGCTTTGAACCTTTTTTTATAAAAAAAATTTAATGAGCATCAAATTTGGGCATTTTTTCTTTATAGGTTTTATGGTGCGCAGGCGCAAATAAATTTTTTTAAGTTTTTTTATTTTACTTTGAAGCGCTGATATCTTTTTTAGGTAATGATAAAGTTAAGGGGAAATACACAGATGCACACTAAAGCTAACCTGCTCTTATCAGGTCTATCCGATATAACTGGTCGGCATTTTAGTTGATTCGAACATTTTCCTAATATAAACTTTATATTTATTTATTTTTCCTCGGATTTGTTCGGATCTGAAAAAATAGACACGATACAAGGGCTTTACAGAACAATATAGTACATCACCAAAGGATGGAAAATTTTCACCCCCATCAAAAATTTGCTTATTCTCGGTAAAAAATCATTTTAAGTTGATAAA